AGTCAGCATACCACATCCTGAGAGGTCTGGAGATGAGCTGATATTCATGCCTGACCCAGTTCATGCCTTCAATAATATTGCCACTATGCTGAACGCTAACAAAGTTATTACACTCCCCCTGGACATTGTTAATAGTGAAAATCTTGTAACGGATGAAGTAAACATTGCTTACTTTGATGATTTAATGGACCACGAGAAGCAGTTTGAGCTCAAAATTGCCTACAGACTGAAAGAGAAGAACCTTCACTGTACCAACAATTTTGCCAAAATGAAGACAAGTACGAGCAGAGCAGTGTTCTGCAGACGGACTGAAGTTCTTTCTTTACATAAAGAAGAGGAAACTTACAGGACAACGGCATATTGGGTCGGGTTGGTCAACCGTTGGTTTGATTTAATGACAAACCGTGGAAAGAAGTTGGCCCTTAACTTAAGGAACCGTGAGGCATACTAGACAGCTTTAGATCACATTAGAAAAACTGCATATGTGTTTCAACACATGAAAGTCGGTGAGTTGGGTAGATGGAAGCCCGTCCAAGCTGCTGTTGTGATGGCAAGTACAGCAATACTTCTGCTTCAAGATTACTTCTTACGGGGCTACATTTTCCTTTTGACTGGGAGATTCACTCAAGATTGCCTTGAGAATCTCTTCTCGCTTTTGAGATTTTGCCTCCCAACTCCAAATGCCCTGAACTTAAAAGATAATCTTAAGGTTATAACTCTTACTCAACTGTGTCAGCAAATAAAAAATTCTAACTATGACTTTAATTTGTCAGAGAAAGAGGAAGAGCGAGTGAGGAAAGATTTCTTGGCTTTCTCCAAAAAAATGGCTGCTACAAGACTCTCTACCCAGGAAGTCAATGGGCTCATGGAGGTTTCAAGTATTCACGTCCCTCTGCTGTCTGATGAACACATGCATCTTATTGATGAGTGGGAATGGCCTGTTATATACGATGTGGCTGGCACGGTCATTCACAGCATAAAAAAAATGAATATGACGGTTTGTGATGCATGCTTTCAGTCTGTCCTGTGGGAGGGTGATGGTTGCCATCCTCATGGTCATGTTGTTGAGCTCCGGAAGTACACTGAGAATGCCCTGTATTCTGTATCTAACAAATGTTTCCGTGCTATAATAAAGGCTGAAGTATCATTTAGAGAAACAAGAAATCTCCTCATTAATGTAGAAAATTATAATATAGCCAAATTTATGGCTGAACAACTGCAGTATGTGTGAGAGGGCACCAACATTCCTTCATGCCATGATATCACAAAGAAAATTCTATATCGATTCTACACTATGCGTTTGAAAATGTGCACTTTGAAGGAGAATGCTAATCGAGCTGCTATAGTTAAAGAGTATTGTTTCAGCAGTAAGACAATGGCCGTACATGCGGCTGTGCAATAAGTTGGCTCCTCTGCCTGCCAACTGCAATAAATAAGTTATTTTTATTTTATGAGTTATTTTTTATTTTATGAGTTATTTATTATTTTATGAGTTATTGCTTCCTCGTAGAGGAAGTTTTGTTTTCGTGAATTTCGTATATGAACCTTTAATTGCGTTTAAGTTGGGTTTAGTCAACCAAATTTTAAAAAATTATATATGAAATAGGGGTAGAAGAAACCAACGAAGAGATTGGTTTTTGAGTTTTTTCTGCCAATATGTTCAGATTGTTGTAAAACGTCGAAATATCGCCTTAAAAAAATGTCCGTGTGTGTGTGTGTGTGTGTGTGTGTGTGTGTGTGTGTGTGTGTGTGCGCGCGCGCGTTTTTTTTTTTTTTTTTTTTTTTTAGGGGTTGTAAAAGAAAATGCGTTTACGCATTCCAGGTTTAGGTATTTTGCCCGAATATGTCGGACTCGAACATTGACTGGTGACTTGTCAATGCTAATACCGACTAAAACTTCCCCTTAAACTCTGGCCTCTGATCCTCACGGAAACCGCCGTTAGGCATTACTTCGTGAGGGGAGGATCTAGCTACTGCTCTTCCCTCTGGTGGCTAAGATGACTTCATCGTTTCTTCTAGTTGCTTTCTTTAGCTCTCTTCCTCTCCGTTGAACGCAGCTCTATAAGGACTTCTGTGACGAAGGTGCTTGTGGCGTTCCAGGCAGCTTGAGTTGACAACATTGCATCTATCCATGTCTCTGGTTGGATTCTCTGATTCAAGATGTTCTCCAATTCATTACGCTGTGAATTGAAACGAGGACATACAAAGAAAACGTGCTCTGCATCTTCAGTAACTCCTGGGCAGGATGGGCACTCCGGAGAATTATCGTGCTTGAAGCGATGTAGATACTCTCGGAAACAGCCATGTCCTGACAACATCTGCGTAAGGTAGTAGTTGACCTCGCCATGCCTCCGGTTCAGCCAAACGTCAATTCCTGGTATCAGACGGTGTGTCTATCTTCCCTTCTCTGCGGCATCCCACTGGAGTTGCCATCGGCTTATGCTGTTCTGCCGTTCTTCTGTTCTAATCTCCTCAGCGCTTAGTGTGGTAGTTGACCTCTTTCGATCATAGAGGGCCCGTCTTTCCTCCGCTAGAACTCTGAGAGGCAAAGTTCCGGAAATGACACACACTGCTTCCTCTGATATTGTGCGGAAGGCGCTGGCTACTCTCAGAGCGCTCTGTCGATAAATTGGACCCGCTTTTCTCCATGTTTCCTGTATGTCTAGTGCGTCGGCCCAAATAGATATGCCATATGTGAGCACTGATGTGACTACAGATGATAGAAGTAGTCTTCTGCTCTGCTTTGGGCCTCCGACGTTGGGCATCAGTCGTGCGAGGCTAGCTCTCACTGCTGACGCTTTGGCACTAACGTGTTCGACCTGCTGCTTGAAATTAAGTCGGGCATCAATCACTCCCAAATATCGTATAAATGGTTGTGATTCTATTTCGTGCTCTCCAACATGTAGCTTGATCGTTTCAATTTGCTTTCTGCTTGTGATCAGCACTGCTTCGGTTTTATGTTGAGCTAGTTGCAAGTTCACCGTATTCATCCACATGTTAATTCTTCTGAATTTGATGTCAAAAGCCAGGTTTATCTCTTCAAGGTGCTTCGCGACGATCACTACTGCTACATCATCAGCATATGCCACAAGTTTGACTTCTGTTGGCAAGGCTATTCTCAAGAGGCCATCGTACATGATGTTCCACAGTAAGGGACCCAAGACTGAGCCTTGTGGTACTCCTCCGGTGATTTCGTACTCTTCTGGGCCGTTTTTCGTGTCATATTTAAGGACCCTGTCCGTAAAGTAGCTCGCTACAATTTTACGGAGGTATTCTAGTACGTTCATTTCTTCAAGGGCTCGCATAATGCAGTTCCAGTTGGCAGAGTTGAAAGCATTCTTAATGTCTAGAGTGGCCACTAAGCAGTATTTTTTCTTTCCGCCCTTCCATTTTTTTCCTGCAATTGCATCCTTGACCGTACTAACAACCAGGTTAATTGCATCTAGGGTTGATCTTCCTTTTCGGAAACCATACTGGTTGTCTGCTAGAAGTGGGTCGACTACTGCTTCTATCCTTTGGTGGATTATACGTTCGAATATCTTACCTGCCGTGTCCAGCATACAGAGTAGACGGTAAGATGATGGCTCATCCGGCGGCTTTCTTCCTTTAGGGAGCAGTACAAGTCTTTGCTGCTTCCACCTTTTAGGAAAGATTCCTTCTTTGAGACACGTATTATAGGCCTCTAAGAATAATGCCGGCGCTGCTTTGATAGATGTTTTTAAAGCAATATTTGGGATTCCATCCAATCCCGGCGCCTTATTATTCCCTACACGGTTACATGCCTCCATCAGCTTATCTTGCGTAACAGTTGGGATGTCTTCAGGATTAGTCTGCTCATGTCGATATGTGACTTCACATTGTCGAGGGAACAGCGTAGTTACGATCCTCTCTAGAAGCTGTGGACACGTAGGTGACGGCATTGGCTGGCTCTTCAGGTGGGTCACGACCACCTTGTACGGTCTGCCCCATGGATCTTTATCTACCTCTTCGACGAGCTCCTTCCAGCAGCGTTTTTTGCTATCTTTGATGGCTTTATTCAGTTCCAGGCAAGCCTTTTTGTACTCTGCCACCAGCTCTGCAGAGTTAGGTCGACGGAAGCCACGCTGTGATATTCTTCTTTTCCTGAGACACTCTGTACGAAGGGCGCTAATGTGATCGTTCCACCAGTGCACCGAGGGTCTTTGGTTTATGCCACGTTTCCGGGGCATACAGGCGTCGCAAGCCTGGGTCACTCTCTTTATTAGTTCCTTCGTTTTCTCTTCTGCACTTCTTGCGACAAACTGGTCGCTGTCTCAAGCTGCTATCAAAACAGTTGGGTCAAAGGATTTTACCTTCCATCCAATTGCATTAAATCGTCTGTTTGCTCTTCTAGAGTTCTGACCAGTTCTGACCAGTCGATATTTCCCACAGTATTGCGCTGTGGTCGCTGGCTGTATAGGTGTTCATCACTTCCCAAGAAAAGCTTCCTCTAGTTAGACTGCTGCTGACGAACGTAAGATCCACTATTGAGCTTGCCTCTCCTTTTGAATATGTTGGTGTTTCACCGGTGTTAAGGAGGACAACATCTAGTGTGGCCATTGCCTCGAGTAGTGCCTTTCCCCGTGGATTAGTGAACTTGCTACCCCAGTCTATCGCCCAGGAGTTGAAGTCACCGGCTATTGCTACGGGGTAATATTGTCTTGCATCCTCGATTAGCCGATCAAGAAAATCTGCGAATTGCTCAGTAGAGAGACTTGGCGGTGCATAGCAACTGTAGAAACGTATACCGTCTACCCATGCTGCTACAAATCCAGCTTCTCTATTATTTATTGCGTCCTGGAAAGGAGATTTGCCACAAGACCAGATGACAGCTTTGGTGGTGCTGTCCGATTCCCAAGGTTGGGTATTCAGGTGTTTGTATGGCTCTGCTATTAGTACTAGGTCTAGCTCAAGTTCGCGCGCGGTCTGCATGAGCAGGTCGTGCGCAGCCTCACAATGATTGAAGTTGAGCTGTAATATCTTCATGTTCTTGTGTTCGTTATCTTCTGGAGCGCTTCTTGGAAGGCCGGGCATCTGTGAGTGCCTGCATGGTGGGCAGCCTTCTCTGCGCCGTGACGTTCAATGCACAGTACGCATTTAGCTGGGTTTTTACAGTCAGCAATCTTGTGCCCTTCTTGCCCGCATCTGATGCACAGATTAGACCGGTTCACTTCACTTTTACACTGGGAATCAAAATGTCCAAAAATCCAGCATTTGAAGCATTGGATCGGTCTCTTTGTTGCTCTTATTCGGCAGTTGACCCAACCGATCCTTATTTTGCCGTTTCTTCCTAGCAGTGTCTGAGCTACAACCGCTGGTAGAGTCACTGTAGCAGTCTGAGTACCTCTGTAGGCCTTACGGATCTTGATTGCCTCCAGTGGTATCTCACAATTTCCCCCAGTTTCTTTTCGTAGAGCGGTCTGGATGTCTTCTTTCGTTGTCGTGTCATCCACGTCTCGTATCTCGATGACTTCTTGCGGTCCTTTGCAGATTACTTCAGCGTCCTCTTTGAGGATGCCCGCAATGGCCTTCTGCAATGCTTGACCTTTGTCAGTGCTCTTCTTCGAAAGGGTGATGAGCATGTCACCGTTCTTGGTCTTAAGGATCTTTTCTACAGACAAGCGGGCCTGGTCATCATGGACGTCCGTCTTTATTCGCCGCAGGATGTCAGCGTATTTCTCCTTCTGGGCTGGTCGGATAATAAGAGCATCCGGTCTGATCCATTTACGCGGTTTCTTTCGCTTGGGTTCAGGTCGGGGTCCCGTTGGCGGCTGCTTTGGGAGCTGCTCCTTTCTTTGCTTCTTCAGTTCTTTCTTGGACTGAACTATCTGCCAAGCAGTCGTCTTTTCATGTTCGCCGCTCTGCACTGTTGCCCTTTGCAGTGGGCTCCTCTTCAAGTTCTTCCTCTTCGTGACTTGGCTGACCGTTGGGTCCGGAGAGGTTCGGTACTTTCTCTTATTAGACTTGGTGCCAGTTTCGTTTTTATCTCCAGCGACAAATTCATTGTCACCATCGACTCCAGTGTCCATTGCTTCTTCCGTCTCAGCAGTAGGTTGACTGCTTTTCTCCGGAGTAACACGGGGAGTGAGTCGTCGAGATGACTGCCATTCTTCATCCAGTGTTTTAAACCTTTGAAGGGCGTTAACTACACTGGTTGTCTTGGTCTTTATCTCCTTATGGATGTTGACCTTTGATTTGACAAACTCATGCAATTCGCTGGTCAGCTTTTCAAGGCGTTCCAGTGCTTGCGTTCTCTTCATTTCAGCGCTTGCTGTAATCGCTGCTTCTTGGGCGTGAGGCCCACTAAAATTCTTGTTTATTTCCTGATTCTTCTCCATGCTTTTATTTTTGTTTTACCAGCGCATCGTACGGAATGGAGCGGGTTGTCATAACTAGGAACGGGTGTACCCTCGGAGATAGTACTCCTACCCCAGTCCTCTGAGGCCTAGTCGACACTTAGCCAGTCCCGGAATACACGGACGAACTAGACTCGCTCGGGGCGGTGAAGATCCGATATCTATCACTCACTGCGTACTTCCTGATCAAGGCCCGAGGTGACTGGCTCCTGATCCACTGTTGCAACTTACACCTCGGCAGAGCAAGCTCACATCAGCCGTAGCCCGCATCGTCGGAAATAATCGACACGGGTTCCGGACACTCCCAGTGAGTTACAGCAGGGAACGATCGTCTTGCACGGTCAGATGGAGTGACCCCTGGTAACCAGTTTGCTAGTTCAGATGCGTCCCGAAGAAGTGCGCAAGAAAACAGTTCAAAATTGCGACAAAAGTGCATAATATCTGTGATTGAACGAGTATTTACTGTACTATTGCAGTAGTCTGCTGTAAGAAGCTACTGTGAAATTTTATACTATTTGTTAAAAGTAAACATGTAGCAGAAATGTGAAAACAATATGGAAGTATCTTTTGAGTACAGATCCAACCGGCAGAAACGTGAAAAGAACGTGCAAGCATCTGTCCGTGAGAAAAAGAGCAATCGAGTGTGCTAGACGCTTGAAACATATTTGCAGAAAAATTTCACAAGTGTATGTCGCTTAAATTGTTGTTTTTGCCGTACAGATCCGACCGGCAGAAACGTGAAAAGAACGTGCGAGCATCTGCCCGTGAGAAAAAGAGCAGTCGAGTGTGCTAGACTCTTGAAACATATTTGCAGCAAAATTTCACAAGTGTATAATGTCGCTTAAATTGTTGTTTTTGCCGTATAGATCCGAGTGACAGAAATGCGAAAAAAGCGTGCCAGCATCTGCCCGTCAGAAAAAGAACAGCCGAGCGCGCTAAACTCCCAGACAGCACAAAATATTTATAAAATATTTATAAAATATTTATAAAAAAGATTAAATATTTTGAAAATATATACGTTGAATATTTTGTAAATATTATAATGTCCGGAAAATAAAAGTATCTAAAAGATTATAATAAATATTTTAAAATAAATTGTAAATAATTATCATCAATATTATTAAAGTTGTTTTTAATTTATGTTATAAATATTTATAGAAATAATTACTGTAAGTTAAGTGGAGATTGTGAAACTGTTATAGCTTCGTGCCGTGAGATGTAGGCTATACGTATGGTCCATTTTGGCGTTACGAATTTCGAAAAATGTTTGATTGATAAATTAGTTGTACGGTATATTCTACCAAAATAACGATAACGCTCTCAATAACGATAAATAAACAAAACAAGGCAAATGAGAGCTTGTTCGCGACGATGGACGGGCGACAGTAATAAAATATTACAAATTCAACAAATTGAATAAAATATATATGATAAAGTAAACGTTTCGGTCCTTGGTTTGGACCCTCCTCAGTACATATAGCTGGTCGAGTGAAATGCAGTGGTCACAAGTAGTAAAAAATGCCGCGTAATACTTATTGTATTACGCGGAGAGATGGTGTCGTATATCTTATAAATTTGACTGTCAGGTAACTCTTGTGATCACTTTTTAAGGTATGACTATATATATTTGTTTAATTTATTTCTTTTTATGGAATTAAGGTAACAGTCAGTGAGGATACGAGATCCACACTCTCATAATCGGAGAGCGGAATAACTGCATTTTTGACTACTTGTGACCACTGCATTTCACTCGACCAGCTATATGTACTGAGGAGGGTCCAAACCAAGGACCGAAACGTTTACTTTATCATATATATTTTATTCAATTTGTTGAATTTGTAATATTTTATTACTGTCGCCCGTCCATCGTCGCGAACAAGCTCTCATTTGCCTTGTTTTGTTTATTTCTGCCAAAATCATTTGTATTTCTGCTGCTCTACTTCTTACGCAAGCATCTGCCGTAATTCTTGTTGAATTCTGCTGTATGTGCTAGTTTGCAACAATGCCGCTAGGCGGCGCATAATGGTAAAACTAACTCGCAAGTAAATTTCAGTTGGGATTTAATATAAGCAAGCCTCCGGCGAAGCAAAATCATGACATTCGCGACAATCTTCACTAGCAATACAACACAAGGCTTACCCAACACCACTGCGGTGCTATAAATATAAAAAATATTTTTGTAAATTATTTTAATCTTTCTAAAAAATATTTTAAAAATATTTTGTGCTCTATGGGTAGCAGTAGGCGCTGCTACAAATCTGGCGCGATTATGTTGCACTGCGATTTGTGCAAGCATCTGCCACATTTCTTGCACTATTCTGCTATATGTAAATGCATACACATATCTTCCACAATTCTGTTGCACTACGACGAGAGCAAGTTTCTGCCAACAGAAAAATAGTCAAAGTTGGAAATAGAAAACGCATTATCTGCCCGAAAGTTAGTGCACGACTTTTCGTGCAGTTTTACAGCAGAAGTGCAAAGGAATGGTTACCAGGGACCGAACCCTTTATAGGGGAGTTTGGTTCACGGGAGCGTATTTTATTTAACTCCTACCCTCTGTACCTTATCAACTGAGAGACTTAGTCTCTTAGTGTCATCCAAGGACAGCGAGCGTTCTCCAATTCTCATGGAGACGCGCCTGGTAGCAGTTTCTCCTCTGCCGCAGGTGTGTGTGTGTGTGTGTGTGTGTGTGTGTGTGTGTGTGTGTGTGTG